TTTGAATATTACATGTTAATAACTTGATTGGAATTATAACCTTGAGTTGACAGTTTGATACTTTGAAAATTTTGAGCCAGCCCTACCCCCAAGGGCTGTAGGGTGGGGCTCAAGGGAGTCAGTGTGCTAAAATTTCTTCATTTTCCTTGTTTAGAATCAGAGGTGCTAGTTTCAAATCCTTTTTAGTCTGAAATCTGTATGCTTGATATTGAATAAGGTGGTTTTATTGTTTTTTGTCACTTTGAATAATATTTCTGTTCATGTTAAAAACGAAATCAACTCTCTGTATAAATATATCAGGTGACCGTTAAGGCCCATGGGCCTCTTGTCTAAATTAATTTACCAAATTGAAAATTATCAAGCATTAATATTCTTTGGAACTTTCTCAAACAGAGGTATTGACGTCTCACACATCATCTATTACATGTGAAGAAGTTAGATGGGATATATCCTTTAATGAATATGTTTGTTGTAAAATATATCTAGCCAAGAGAGAAGCTCTCACAATAGCTTGTGTTTATAGAAGCCCCAACAGTGTGGACACAAATAACTCTTCACTACTTGAACCTGTATGACTCCAAACCGACTCATCTACTTATATTGGGTGATTTCAACATGAAAGAAATAAACTGGCTTACCAACTCAACATCTGTAAATGAGGATCAAACAGCAACACGATTTCTAGAAAAAGTCTGTGACTGCTTCCTGTTCCAACATGTAGAGTAACCAACTAGACAAAGAGATGGACAGACCCCATCGTTGCTAGACCTCATTTTCACCAATGAGGAAGTTAACCTACAATCCAAGTATAGGAAAAAGTGATCATCTTTTATTGAACTTTGAATTAACATGTAAAACAATAACCCCAATCATCAATTTCGACAAACCCAACTTTCACAGAGGAGACTATGATGCCATCAGAGATAAAATCTCAGAACTAATCACCAACAGTCTCACATTAACTGATAGTACAACTGATTCTTGGGGCTACTTTGCTGTATATCTAAAACATCTAGTGAGAGAATGTATACCAGTGAGTAAAGCGAGAACAAGAACCACGACAAAACCGTACATCAACAGAGACTCCTTAAATGCAATAAGAGCTAAACACCAAAAATGGCTCAAGTACATCCACTGTAAAACACCAGAGAATTACAAAGAATTCAAATCTGCAAGGAATCGAGCAACTTTCACCATTCGCGAATCTCTTCAAAACTATGAAAACAATATAGCAGAAAACATAACCTCAAATGTTAAACCATTCTGGAAATATGTAAGATCCAAAACAAAATCCAAAACTTCAATAACCAGGATTGTAGGACCAAACAATGAGCCAACCACTTCAGATGATGAAACAGCTTACGTTCTGAACGAGTATTTTG